TTGAAAAACTACTCCTTTACCAAAACTGAAAACAAAAGGACCGTGATTAATAAAGAAAGACACGTTTTATACGGGTGGTCGTAAATCGTAGTGTCTAAAATATGAGTTTTCCTATCACTGATCGGGAAATTATCACCTTTAACCTTACCATTGAGTAACGATATCAGCAATTTCATATTTTGACACCCTTCAAACAAAGACTGAAATATCTTGACGTTTTATTTACAGATAAGTATGTAAAATGACGGCACAGAAACGATAACAAAAGTGTTCTGATGACCTTTAACCTTTGAATTGATACGTCTTTGAGAGATGTAACCGATATCTTTATCTCATACGTATACGTTATTACCATTGAGCATAAAATTGTCTGTTCTTGATAATAATACTAGAAATGACATTTTACTGTTTGAACTCACAACTTTAACCATATTTTGTTGTAATTTCTTTTGTATTTTTACAAAATGTATTTTAAATCCAAAATGATTCAAAATGTTTTGCGCCGATTTGTCTGAAGTATTCATTCATTGTCAAATATTTTAAATAATTCTTCAACAAAATTACACTTAACGACTTTTGAACGCGTATTTAGTGTCTTGTAAGATTTAGTGCTATTTCGCAAACCTTTCTTGTCTTATGAAATGTCAGAAAGTCCTAACTTAAAATTGTGGCGGCAGAAAATATCCTTTAGAACCACCCTTTGTATAGGTGAAGGGGGTTGCGATTTTTCCAACAAAGTTCACATGCTGTCATGGAATAAAAATTTGCCAGCCGTAAAGTGGAAAAATTTTGTCTCATTTATACTTTTTACTTTAAGCCTTTAAAGATGCATTTTCAAGAGATTTTTTTTTCTTTTGCTGGGCTATTGCTTAATTTAAAAAAGGCTTGAAAGTGATTGCGCGAGAACAAAAATCGTTCTATACAAAAATATTCACCTCGAAAAACAATTGATGTTTTTAGTTAATGTTGTGTTAACCCGGACTAAGCAAAACGCATGATAAGGCCAAAATTCATACTAACTGAATTTCGAAAACTATAATAGATCTATCAAAGAACATCCTTCAGATGTTCACACGCAAGACATTTGTGTGTCGATTATACACCTTATCGCTAATCCCGCTTGACCCGAGAATCAGTCCCGCTCGAACTTTTGACGTCATACAACAATCACTTTTCCATTGTGGCGTCAGATATTTTCTATTATGACGTCAAAATTTTACGGGAACTTGTGTGATGTCCAGTAATGGCGGACAAATAGCGATAAGGTGTATTAGTATATATCATTTTTAATTTTGTCTTTATATATTTGATTTACGGCTTCAACTTCAATCATTTAAAGCAAAGTTGCAAACACTGGCAGTCTAAGAATGAGACCTTTTCATTAATATCCAGATACGAACGACATATCTTTTGCTACTTGATGTCTTTCACAAGAATGTAACTTTTTGTAAAATATCGCCATGGGTATATGAGACCGTGATTCATATCCAATTTTCTTAAAAACATTATGTGTAAAATGGCCATATAATGGTGATCGCTGTTTGTGTAACGTCCAGTAGAAAATATTTCATGCAACACAACTGGTAGGTTATAACACCATATTTATCTATTCATGAAATTAACCTAATTTTAATAGCATAAATGAATGTATACATATTGTGTTTTGACTTAGCTTAACAATGATAGAACTGAATTTTTCACATGAAATTCATATCGTTTCCTCAGCGGGATTCAAACTCAAGGTGTTATGACATCAACGGCTATTTTATCGAGCGCAAAATAAATATTTGTCCAAATGTTTTAGCTGTGAAAAAAATCCAAACAAAATGAAAATAAACTTAGACCTTTTTTAATATTTAAACAATGAGTTTAGATTTGTAAAAAATGTATTTGGACATCACTACGATCAGAAGAGGCCAGACATACTACGAATGTTCCGCAACCATTTTATCATTCATTCAGCATATCTCTGCATTTTGTGTTTCTTTACACTGTCTTGAAAGTTCACAACCACATATAACAAACAAAGAGGACACAACGCTTGCTATTCGCAAAAATTAGAAATAAAAAAAATTAGAAAATCAGAATGGGAAATTTTCTAACAGCTGTTAACCTGAAAAAAATGAATGTGCGTCCGAAGCCTTTTTCTGGATATGTCTTCATCAGGAATGTTTGAAGCCAAACATTTGAAAGCTGGGGACGTAAAAGTACCGAAACACACAATATGACCAAAAGGAACATAAAAATAATAGCCAAATCCATCTAAGGTCAATTTTGCCTTAAAGAGTTGGGACCTTAGTTTCTTAATTATTTTTGAATTCATCATCGAACAATTTAAGATACGTATGTTATATATACCATTTCAGTGCCCAATCATTGACTACTTAGCTGCTGATATTTATAAGGACTAATAGTCCACCAGCAACGAGACCCATTGCTATTATACAGGAAAATAACACCTGATAATGTTTTGGCGTCAGAAGCGCTTTTCTTGATTTACCTTCATCTGGAACGCACAAAGCTCTAAACTTGAAATCCAATGATGTATCAGTGACGTCACACACGAGGAGATATATAACAAATTCCAGCTTAATATTCAAATGTAAATAGGTCGATACATTTATCCCTTAAATTTACCTGTTTTTAAATGTGAAATGAATCAGCATGCAAACGTAATAGTATTGGAGCACCTTGCCCACTCAACCGACTAAGCTATATAAAACTATATATCAGATGACGTCTTTATTCGTTGATGTAATGTTTGGTTAAAACATGGTACATGATATAGTAGTAGCTTTTCGACGCTATTACTGTGCAGTGCACCTTACTTTTAATACATCTCAGTGTACTCTTGTCATGCAACCACACAAATGGTTGGTCTTTACCCCATACAACTCTACGATATCTAATATAAATAAAGGCAACAGTAGTATACCGCTGTTCAAAAGTCATAATTATAGCTTTGTCATAAAGACGAATGCTTAACAAAATGATTAGATTAAGAAAAAAATATACATATAAAAAATACCGAACTCCAAAGCAAAATCTAAAAGGGAAAGTCCATAAAAACTGACAAAATCAAACGCTATCATTCAAAGGCACAAGTGAAAAACAACTGCCATATTCCTGACTTGGTACAGGAAAATAGGAATGACATCAACTGATTATTTATATACAACATAAAGTTGGCAGAGTTGTTTAAGGTGCTGGACACCGTACAAAGTTGGCAGAGTTGTCTAAGGTGCTGTACACAGTACAAAGTTGGCAGAGTTGTCTAAGGTGCTGTACACAGTACAAAGTTGGCAGAGTTGTCTAAGGTGCTGGACACCGTACAAAGTTGGCAGAGTTGTCTAAGGTGCTGTACACAGTACAAAGTTGGCAGAGTTGTCTAAGGTGCTGTTCACAGTACAAAGTTGGCAGAGTTGTCTAAGGTGCTGTACACAGTACAAAGTTGGCAGAGTTGTCTAAGGTGCTGTACACAGTACAAAGTTGGCAGAGTTGTCTAAGGTGCTGTACACAGTACAAAGTTGGCAGAGTTGTTTAAGGTGCTGGACACCGTACAAAGTTGGCAGAGTTGTCTAAGGTGCTGGACACCGTACAAAGTTGGCAGAGTTGTCTAAGGTGCTGTACACAGTACAAAGTTGGCAGAGTTGTCTAAGGTGCTGGACACCGTACAAAGTTGGCAGAGTTGTCTAAGGTGCTGTACACAGTACAAAGTTGGCAGAGTTGTCTAAGGTGCTGGACACAGTACATATGGTAATGCAGTTAATATCTTATAAGCTTGAGTTCAAATCCCGCTAAGAGAACGATATAAATTTACTAATGCAAAATGCAGTTGTAACATTCTGGCTGAAGAGAGAGAGTACAAACCGGGATAGGGTTATGATGTGTTCTTTTTATCAGACGTTTAAGATATTTTTATTCATCATGTTCATAGTAAATACTTTTTAATGTTTCTGCTCATTGTATTAATTTTGGCCGTCATGGGACCACTGTTGGCATTAAACACATTTTTTTTAAATTGCGTTCTTCTTAATATATTTATATATTAATATGATTGTTATGTAGAAAAGTTATCAGCGGCATGTGATGCTCACATCCATAGGTAGATAAATATAAATTTTCGCAATCAAAGATTGAAAAAGTAGTCTTATTTTAAATATCACACCATATTATGCCTATGCTCATATCTATATATCCTATTCCTCTATGTCTGTATCGTCCTGGTCAACTCTCTAAAAACTTTGAAAAATAAATAAATAGAAATGGAGTATCTAGACTATGACGATCAAATTTTCGGCCGCTTTGGTACGAAAAACGGACAAATTTAATAAAAAAAATTGCACGGTTTAAAATGGACATTTTGGTTGTCATGTGTTATCTAGAATATGGAGACAATCTGGAAGATTTAAGGTTGTTCTAAGCTCGAGCTGCACAAAGTTGTAGTTGGCATCTTACAATCTCATAATGTTGAAAACTGTTAAATTTGTATCCACTTAGGTAATTTGAAAAGTATAAAATTAGGAAATAGCTTTTGAGAAACTATGTAAATTTGTCCTGCTTGCAATTTCTGCTAATTTTAAGTGCCATATTTGATACTAAGTGCATGCATATGAGTGTGATTTTCAATAATTCCGTTCAAATTACTTCATCTGTGGTCTTTGTTATAATCGACTGTATTTGGACATACCTCTTGGAATATTGAGACTTTGTTTTGTGTTTTTATTGTATCTATATCATAACCTTGCTAAATTGATAATAACTTTATTTTGTTGTCTAATGTTGTCCAGTGTATATTTTACCTCTCTATAAAATGAATGAATTTGTCTTCACCCCCTATAATAAATAGTACTATGCTGCTATTTTAAATTAGAAAGTTTTTAAGATTTTCTCTCGTGTGTGAAATAGATAGCGCCATACATGAATATTATGTAGACTAACGCGCCTCTGGCGTACCAAATTATAAGCCTAGTATCTTTGATACGTTCGTGCATAATGCTGGTGGGACTTTTTGTTTCCAGGATATTTCTAGCCAAGTTGTCAACAGTTTGTGTACCCTATTTGTCAACATAAACTATCATTGATATGTTCATTTTCTGTAAACTTACTGTTTATAAAATGTTGAATTATTCGAAACACTATGGTTTTCTTTCCCCAAGCATAGATGTCCTTAGCCTTAATTGGCACAACTCTTCGAAATTTTGGTTTTCATGGTCTTCAACGTTTAATTTGGCCACCCAACTATTTCTCCACTGCCACTGATAAGCTTTATGTAGACGAAACGCGTGTCGTGTGTATCAAATTGAAAGCTTGAAGTCTTTAATGACCTGTTTTGTGTCGACATTCTTGTGTTGCTATTACGAAAAATGTTGGCTTATGGTAAAAAAATCTTTAATTAGGTTGAAAGGGCATTCATACGGCTGATCTCCTGCACCCTTCATCAATATGTTGAATTGTGACACTGAATTATCTTCGCTTGTTCTCAACTCGAACTGGACAGCAGTTGCAGTTTGAATCTTACAATCACTTGATGCGAAAAACTGTAAAATTTTAAGATTATTTTGAGCCATATAGATTTGTCCTTCTTGCAATTTCTATTAATTTTAAGTGAATATTTAAAGTTATTGGAACATGGTATAAGTGTATAAGTGTGATTTTTGACAGTAACTTTAAAATTGAGATTTCTTCATCTGTAGCTTTTTTTAAGCCATGGTCTTGACTGACTATATTCCAATTTACCTATTGGTATAATATTCTTTTTGTGACGTTTTGATATATTTATATGATAACACTATAAGTAGAGATTTTTTTTCTTGTGTCTCACACCCGATGTCCAGTGTACTTCGGTCGTAGAGGCTATTAGCTAACTTTATTACTATTACCTAACATTTGAGGCTCATGGGAAATTAGTAGTTCTGCAAAACTGGAAGTTAGGGATATATAGCCAAAAAGTCCAGATTTTATACAATAAACTTTTGTCACTTAAAAAAGTTTGGTGTGATATTGAAATGAAACTGCTTTTTAATATTCAATTTCGAAATTTAAACTTTATCCACATTTAAAACTTCAAAACAAAAATAGCAGTCTAATGAGTATTTTGATCATAGATGCTCATTTTTGTTTGGTTTAAACAACAGTGTATTCCATGAATTAATCGTACAATATACATGTCAAATAATAAAGTGTAAATAAATAGGTCATAGAAACAAGCATCATTGATTATCTAAATCTGTCTCCAAAAAAGCATTGCGAGGTCATTTTTGTATATTCTAATTTGAATATCTAAATTAAAAAAAAAAGATGTGGGAGCAATAGATCTATGTATATCAATATATACCGATTTGTCCCCCTTTGACTTACATATACGCCGAACAAAGAGGCAAATCCGAAGATGTAAGAAAAATAAATTCAAATCTAATTTAGCATTAAATAACCAATTTTTAAGTAATTTGCTTATCTTAACATGATATACAGAAAATGAAAATTAATGTGAGATAAATATCTGGTACATTAATTGATATTTGATGCTTATTAAATCGTGTAGCAAGCATAGTTGTCCTTACTAATGACATTTCAATCTACAGGTTCTTACCGAGAAAAAATATACACGAGGGAGGTTTCCCATGTAAATATTTACGTTGTTGCGTACGTATGTAAATATACAAAGTCGTTGCCAGTTTTCAGTATATTCCTCCGCTATAGGGGTTCTTCAAACAGGTGCATATCCTCTTTGTAGTATATGACCATTTAATTATGGCGTCCTCGAGACTTTTCTTCAGTGAACACTTTTTACATATCTTAATTGTGGGAAATGTAAAAATCAAAGATTCGCAGATTGATATCTGTAAATATAGGTTATAATTGATAAGAAATATCCTCATCTTTTAAGTGGTGCTAACATCTAATTCTGAAAGGGTCAGGTGCAATGGTGATGTGGCTTTATGATATAAACAGTTATGAAATTAGGAAATCAATAAAATTTAATACAATATAATCTTCAAACAAGCAAAAATTAGTGAAAATAATAAAATAGTATGATAATAAGTATACATGTCTACTAAGTAAAAGGGATGTTAATCAGTTAGTATTTGATGTATACATTAAATTCTCTTTTTAGTTTTAATTCACTATTTATAAATGGAAAAGTAAATGAGATTCAGAAAAATGAAAAGAAAGATGAATTTTCTAATAATCATGAAAATAAAAATGTACAGACGTTTGTTGTGATGTATCTTTCTATTCAATATATGAATATTTAGAATTCGACCAAGTTATCTTTTTATTGATTTATTTTTATAAACATGTTTTGTTCGATTAAATTTTTTATTACCTCATGAACACACAAACCTAACAATGATAATTCTATGATTTTATATATTTGATAAAATCTGGCTTTTTAACGAAAAATAACAGACAATAACTATCCCTTGACTGCATGTTAATTATAATATAAATGAAAATGGACATTTGGTAAACAATTTCATTTTTAAATCAACAATGAAACTGTGCCCATTGCATGATATGATAATTTGTATTATCAAAGTAAAAAGGTGTTCTTAATAATTTAAAGCTTTGACTTTTTCTTTTAAAAAAAACTCAATAAAAGACAAATTCTGCCATTTTTAACGAGTTCCAGCAACAATCTTAAAGTGATTCCAAAACAGACGGAAGATACCAAATGTATCTTAATTCATAATCATAAGTCGATAACAAACTGCCAACGCCATGGCAAAAAACGAAAAACGAGAAAAAGACAAACAATCTACAAAACACAACATAGAAAAAACTATTCTAACTAAAGATTGAGCAACAAAAACCGGTGGTGATCTCAGGTGCTCCTAAAGGGTTAGTAGATCCTGCTCTAAATGTGACACCGACGTGTTACTCCTATAAAATATGATGATAAGTTGTACAAATTATTAGGCATCATGCAATATCGGATGGTAAATGACTCTTAACTAACCCTTAGACATCTCAAAATTCGTAAACCATCGGTCATATATATAAATTTCATAATCTTAAACTTGACCGAACGAGAAATTTTGAGATTGAGATTACAGGAGAAAGAATCGACAGGACTGTTTAAGATATTACATATACCTATATATGTATTAGAAGATGTCAAATATCTGTAAAATTCATCTTAAATGTGTCAATGAAATAACAATTTATTTGTAAAAGTCAGTATTTTCCAAATGCCAATGGTCATATTATGAGAACAATGTACAGTATTTGAAAATTAATTAAATATCATTCGTTACATATTGATTTAAACTTAAAACTGATAAATATAGAGTCAAACCTGTATATGAAGGTCCCACTCATGGATTTGTTTTTTTCTCAATCGATTTATGAATTTCGAACAGCGGTATACTACTGTTGCCTTTATTCATGGCCAAAGAAAACTTACCTTGAAAGAGAGATCACCTTTTAATTGAGGTTCAAAATGTAGAAGTATAACTACAGCGAGAGATGATGAGAGTGAGATTACAAGACAGGTTTTAGCTTAAAAGAGACGACCTTTATAAAAGGTTTCTGTAATCATAAGTACGTAATGTAAGTGTTTTAGGGGGAAACTATGTTTAAAAAAAGTCATCAAAGATACCAGGCTTATAATTTGGTACAAATGCCGCGCGTTTCGTCTACAATACGGAAAAACATATTGTAAAGGAACAATTATAGTCCGTCTTATAACTGCTGCAAGGTGCGAGTTGTTAAGTTTATCTTCCGTCTTAACAGCTCTTGTGCAAGATATTTAGATTATCGTCGAGACGCTTCCAAAACTGACAAAATCTTTTGTAACCGTCTACAGCAAATCATAATGGCGACCAGATAACCTCTATCTATTAACAAAATTATTAGGAATGCTCAGTTTAATAGTAATTTACTATAAGTCACCCTGTATCAAGGCAGTTCGGACAGAAAAAACTAGTTTTGAAATATATCAACTGAGATATACAGTCTTTATTTAGGTTGAATTTTCCAATATAAGTCATCTCTTGTAACAAGGAGTTTGTTTCTTCTCTCGGTCTACCCTCACTGTTGGTTTCTTTTTGCAGGTAATTATTTAAAGCAGGCCTAGATTGATCTGTTGTATTTTTTGTCCAAGCTCTACGGAAATGATACATTCAGCACAATCATCCAACTATATATGGCTCCGTGTTGAAGGCCTTACTTTGACCTATAAAGGTTTACTTTTACAAATTGTGACTTGGATGGAGAGTTGTCTCATTGGCACTCATACCACATCTCTCTCTTTATGAAAAATACTTCCTTCTGACTCCCTTCTTTTCCTATATTTTTCTGCTTATTCGTCGTTATTGGAAGGGTTCATTCAAAAGCCTCACTCGCTAGCCTTTCATTCATTCTTGAGACCTTCCCAACATAAGGTATGTTTCATACGCAAAAGAATAAGTCGGACAAAAGGAAAGCACAAAGGAATGCCAGTTTATGTTATATAGATACAATGGATAAGCGTGGATTCTTGAAAAAGAAACCATGAGCCCGGAGGGCGAATGGTTTGTTTTTCATGAATCTACGCTTATCCATTGTATCTATAACTTAAACTATTGTGTTAATTTCTTTTCAAAATTAAAGCCTTTTCTTAATTAGAAGGTATTGTAAGTGAGTTTAAATAACCATGTTATCGTGTCCAAAACGATGCATTGATAATTCTCAGATCACAATTAACTGGTGAACAAAATACAAATATAACACTTCTACCTTTAAAGATCTTTATATTACCAGGCATATGAATATTATCTGTTTATACAAAATAAGACATATTCGAAATTATTTCTAATAAAATTGAAAATGGAAATGGGAAACGTGTCAAAGAGACAACAACCCGACCAAAAAGCATATATAAAGTATATATAATAAGTATGTTATCGAAATTTTTCTAGCACTCTAGGCACATCACGATTTTTTGGCATAGGAATTTGCGAACAAACCTGTGTAAAATTATGTAGTAAAACAGATGAAATCATACTATATTTATAAAACAAAAATTGACAAATAGAATGTAATCATTTTTGTTTCAAACATGTGAAATAGCCAATATTAATAAAAAAAACAACCGGTAAAACTCGCTATTATTACAAAAATATCCACTTTAACATGCAAAATTAGAAAAAAAACCAGGATAACTTACGAATTGGAACATCAGAGAGAATACAGGGATTCGAACCTAAACCGACAAATCCATATCTTTAACTCATTGATTTTAACCATGCTAACCTCGCGGCTACCAACTCATATTATACGACTGCCTATTGTGTCTATATAAAGGTACAAGCCCTGTGTGTCCGATGAACCGATGTATATCAGATGTTCATTCAAATATATAAAATAGACATCTATACTGTAACCCATTGGTAGCCGAGAGGTTTCGTCGATGTGTTGATGTCAGTCACACATAACAGATTTCGAGGAAGGGTTCGATTCCCAGTGAAGGCATATAAAAATTACAAAAATTAAAGGTAAGTTTTTAAATTAATTCCATAAGTGAACAGAAATCAGTAAATTAGCCAATTCAAACTTAATGAAATTAGGCACACAAAGGAAACAATTGAATATAATTTGGTGAGTCAATTTCAGCGGCAGATTTAGGAAGCGTTGATTCTAGAAAAAGAATCCACGGTAAATGAATAGGCTGACGTCACCACAATGGTTTAAAGTAGGAGAACTTTCTGTTGTTAGAATCAAAGATGTTTTGTATTGTTTTCTTTTGTTTTTCTACTTCTGGTCTGTTTTAATTATTGTTTTGTTGATTTTGTTGTGGGTTTTTTTTTCTTGCGGGTTTTTTAAGAGTTTACAACGTAATGTGTTCCTCTTTTCCGTTTCTTGGTTCTAAAACATGATATGTTTACCTTTGTCGTCCATTCTTTTCTATAAGACAAAGTTACAGTGTTCGTTTTATCTGCACATCTTAGACTCACAATGAAGGTTCCCTTGTAAGGGGTAGAGAACAGTTCTATGTTCTACTGGATTAGATGATGGTTCTTATGTTTACGCAATAACTATATGATAGAGAACAAACATTGTCATTGTGAACAACACTAAATGAAGATATAATAAAATGCGTGTTATACTCCAGAAATTTAATTTGGCATCATATGTTTTAATATATGTTAATTTTCTCTCAATTTCCATTTAATCAATGTTAAATTTGAAAGATTATTGAAATAGACTTTTGCTTCGTGTAATATAACGTATACCATGAATGATTTTTTTTACAATTTCAAAATATGCCCTCGTATGAGAATGCCAACTCTCGTGATCACCGCCAAGTATACTTAATGTATATCAAACCTTTATACATGTCTATAATTACTGTATTCAACATCTGAAAGAATATATAATGCTGTTTAAGTGTCTCTGGTGAAGAAGCCCTTGATATTGTAACAAAATTAATTAATCCCGTAACTAAAACCTTTAATCTTATAGGACAACAGACATACTAATTTCTGCTGGACATCACATAAAGCAGTCGTCATTATACACAGCGTATATGTTTTTATCTTTTACTTTTTATTTTATTGATGCATGCATAGCTGGAGACGCTTACCCTGTCGACGTACCTGGTCTTGCTCCTTTAGGAGTTCAGGAGATTCCATCAGTTTTTGTTTGTTACCTTGATTTGTCTTTTTAATCGATTTATGAGATTTGAATGTCGGTAAACTACTTTTGCTTTGATTTATTAGAAAAAAAACAAAAAAAAAGTCATTGACAGTTAAGATAGGAGGTAAATGATTTACCTACTGTAATTTGTCCAAAAAATCATTTTCTAATTGACAATGCTATACACAAAACAAATATTGCAATAAAAACAAATTATGAGGTGTATTGGAGGAAAACTAGCCTTATAAAAGTCTGATGTTACAGTTTTGAACTATTTAAAGCATATGTTCATCTGTGAATACAATTTTTTTTTTAAATATGAAAAAGCAGAATGCAAAGTTTGCATTTAAGTATTAATTATTTTGAAAGAAAAAATCTTTAAAAGTTGAAAATGTAGTATAATACGATATTTATCCTATATGAATCCAAGTATCCGTTTACTGGCTCTGCTTACGCTTCGCCATACGGTTACCACAATTTACGACTATCAAATCTCCAATTGATGCCCGCAAATCTCCAACAACAATATTGTTATCCACTATATGGTCTGTCAGCAGCGGTACCAATACTTGCAGTGGAAGTAAAAACGTCTGACTCAGCTTAATTTTCCATGTTCACGACATGTCATTTTGGAAAAACAGTCCTGTTGAATACCAAACAAAATAAAGAGAACAGCTACAAAGGCTGGAGATAAAAGTTACAAGTCCAATAACAGAAAACACCATGGTCAAAAAGAAAAACAACAATAACAAAATATTACACAGAAAACTATATAAGGGTTGAGCAACACAATTCGCAACAAAACCCGAGATTAACTCAGGTGCTCCAGAGGGTCAGTTATTCCTGCTCCCCTAGTGGCACCCGTCGTGTTCCTCAAACATGAATAATCTCGGTGATAAGTAGCATTCGGCAATGTCACAATATTTAAAATGTCTATCCTTTACAGAAAGAGTGACATGCCAACCATCAATTCTAATGTATAAAATTGTAAATGGACTAACACCTGATTACTTATCAATGTTAATTGATAATGATGTTCAACACTACATTTTACGTTCTGTCTAATAACGATCAATTTGTTCCAAGACCAATACTAATTTTTATAAAGAATCTTTTCGTTATTCTGCAACCAAGGTAGGGAATGATTTACCATTTACAATAAAAAGTTGTCGTAATGTGGAATTATTCCAGAAACATTGTTACAATCATTTTCTTGAAAATGCTATGCAAGTTAAATATTTTTTTCTTTTATGGCTAGAATACGAAAACTTTATTAAATGTCGTCATTTAAATGTATGTATGAATGATTGATTTAAATATATATATGGGTTGTATTTTGAGGTCTGAAAGTAAACTGTATACATGTATTTTGTTTGAATGAAATGAAATGCAAATTGAACTAGTTTTAATTGAGCTATCCTCTTTAAATAAAGAATTTATTATTATTATTATTATTATTATTATTACTAGAAAGAGAGGACATGAGTGTTGGTCCGACAAGAGGAATATACCCGTGGTCAGCTGTGAAATAGATATATACTCTATAACGGTCAACCAAATCATGATCATAGCGTCAGTGAATCTTTCGAAAGGATGTCTTCAACTTCCCGATTTGCAAGTATTCTTAGATTGGCACTTTCTGTCTTTTGTCTTAATGATAGTTGTTTTCGTGTTTCGTGTCGATGTGATGAGTCAACTGATATGTGCAGTTCGTTCCTATGTTGTACTGTTACTGTTCCAGGTTAGAGGGAGGGTAAAGCGCTCACAAAAATGTTTAACCCCGCGACATTTGTTTTTCGTTTATTGTTTTGTCATATTAAGTTAATCCGTTAATTCTTTTTTTTTATTGTTTTTTTTTGTCATGAAGGAATCTTTTAAAGCTTACTATACGGGATAGGTTTTGCACATTGTTGAAGGTTGTACAGTTAACTATAATTTCCTAAATGTGCTTCATATTGGATACTTTTCTCATTGGCAAGCATACACATCTCATTATTTTATACTGTTTGCCTCTGCAGGAGTAGTAATTGAAGAAATTAAAAATGTAGACATACGAATATGAAATCATAGTATGTCGTATTATGAAAATGACCACTCTTGTAGTCCAATTATATGTTTAATTTACACATCTTCAGCATAAATCTTCATTACTAAGAGCATTCAACATCAAAAGGATAACTATTGCGTTTTATTAAGTGTCAATAGAGAGGTAATCTTTCTACTTTGAAACAAAGTTAATTTTACTGTTATTTAAAGCTGTAATCTTACATGGACATCAAAATGTTAACATTAGCATGACGCATATTGAAATTATGGTTTATTCGTGATTTGCACATTTGATTTAGACGCTGTTATTTTATAATTTTATAATTAAATACATGTATGACCACGGCAAACACAATCTATAGTATATTTATTGTTCTGCGATAACATAAAAAATAATCCTTGATATATACTGTCGGTTTCTCTGTGCCGATATTGTACATTATAAAGACAGTTAATATCTTTTAAATCTAACTTGACTGTTGCAATATTTTATGCAGACTAGATAGGCCTCGTATGCCGTGTTTGTTCGTCCCCGATATATTACTATTACAGCAAAGTGTGTTTGAAAGCCAAAATACAGATATAAGCAAGAAAAATATCAAATATTAATATCAATACTGTTATCTGGCGGTTTACAATTGTTGTGATTATCTGATGTAAGTTATAATTGAGTCATAAAACTTGAAGAATATTTTGAGTTAGAAGATTTTTTCTGTTGAATTCATTTATATATTTATTTGATTTTACAGATATGCCTATATGGTCTGGTGTTTTTGGATTATTTATAGAAATAAGTTATAAAGATCCAAAAGTTCACAAAGATATAATGCATAAAAACTATAAAAATAAAATATGCTAAAAAAAACAAACAATAGATACATTAGTTGTCTCTAAAAAAACGCAGAATATGTATAGTGAAATGACAAAGAATATTATGTCTTAGCAAAACTTTATTCCATGATCATATCATGATCATTTACATAAGTGTCAAAATGTTCGTCTTTACATCTTCTAAACTATTCAAAATTGTTAGTATAGACTCTTGAATGGTAACACGTGTCTGGCATTGTACTATTTATTCCCTGCATTTTAGAACAAATACATAATTAGAGTGTCCTTATATGGATCAATTTCAAAAGTCTAAATTCCAATGAATTCGAAAGTAATTTAAGACTATTCACTGAAGACAAATCACTTGTTTAGTTTACTTGATTGTTGAGACGTGAAATCCTTACATAGAATACTCACAAAAGACTGGTGTTGCAACGTGCATGGTCTCTTTGAAATGAAACCCCTAACAATTTGACAGGTTGTCGTGTGAAATCCGAATTTAGAATATTCAAAAGCAAATGCGTTTTGTAAAATTCAAAAGAAATGGAAGCTTTATATATATATACCAATATTACATTACAAGTCAACATATTATTGCATGCCACTTTGATCTTCCCATTGTCAAAAAGCAATTTACCGAAAACTATTTTGAAAACAAGCATATGTGTAACAAAGAGAAATGTCAAAGAACGTCAAAAGATAATCAGGGCGATTTGATTATGGGTAATTTACAAAACATTTTTCTATCTATATCTGTGGGTGAATATTTTCACACCACGGTTTACTAAATAGTTCTGATAAGGCCCCATCGATCTAAGTAATCGTAACCTTTTTCTTCACTATCAGAGTGATCAGACATATATTAAACATTTTTGTATTTACGATCAGTGGTGAAAGACTGATAAAGACTAAATTCGGCAAGATAAGCTACTAAATAGACAGTTATAGTTATCCAAGCGAGCACCTTGCTACCGTTGAACGTAAAATACCCCATCTCTGTCCACTTTATTGCTCATTTGCTTATCATTTTTTTTAATTAATGGACTAATGTTAAACGGACGCGAAAGTCAGTAATACTGTTATTGACACTGAAAAAAAGTGAAATTGAAATCTCTGGGGTAATAGAATGAATGTTACATCTTTTCGTTTCGTAAGAAATCTTGAAACATTATGAAGAGGAAATACGAGTAACGTGCAAATGTTTACATGTACACGGAGATACCTTATTTTATACACTTCAATGAACAGCATTTTACTGTAACAATATCTGTTCTATGAACGGAATCTCGGGTTGTTTCGTATAAGTCTCATATAACCCCTTATGAACTGAATAATATCAGAATTAAAAAAAAACAGCGAACATAAAACATTGAAGCTTTTTGAAAATATTCTAGTCATAGGAATGGCATACGTAACTATATATAAAATCCATTCAAAATTAAGACGGATATTAGGCTTTGGGAACTATTTAAATATACAACAAAAGAAATCTTTTATTAAGAAGAGATCGCAAAAAAAAAAATTGAGATGCCAACTTTTTTAATGTAATTTAGTTGGATTGATTCTTGTTTGCTGTCTTAAATGTACAGGGCTGATATGCAAAACTACTTCAGTTAAGATTTGTTCCGAACGGACGGATTTTTCTACATGTCATACGATAAATAAGTGGGTTTATTCATATTAGCCCAGAAATATAATCAAATAATTATTGTATGTATTACTTCCAATGGTAAACAAAATATATATTAAATAATACATTTAACCAAACAAAAAGAGATAAAAAAAAAAAGCTGCCAATAAATAGTTACCAAAACTAGAAACATGCTGTCCGGCTGTGGTTTTAAGAAAATGATAAATAAGTGAACTTGTCCCATTAATAAAATAGAACTGACCTGCAGTTTTATAAATGTTTGAAATGTCCGGTCAGCGTTTAGTGTACTAAAACATAATATTTAGTATGCAAATTTACTGTTGTAACAAAAATCCATCGTATCCTAATTCAATACATACTATAACTAATATAGATACTATCTA